ACCTTTTGTCAATCAAAAACATGCAGTACTTTCTGGAAACAGTACTGTAGCCACTACTCCCACACTTTCACAAACTTCTTCCAACATGCAGCTTTAATTCTCTATGCGCTCCTAATCTTGGCATCCAGGAGACATGGAAAGGCACGTGTACAGCTGTCACCTGGTGAGTAGGTCCATGCACCTACTCTGTACATACCCTACTCTACACATGAAATGGGAGATGAAAATATCTCTCCTGATATTTAAAGGAGTTATCAAAAGCATAACACATGAGGGCTCCAGGATCCTCCCAGCCTTATGTCATCGTTAGAAGCTGACTGGTTTCCATGATGTGTGAGGGTCAATATTTACTCCAGAGGTGTTTTTTGTTGTTGTTTTGTTTTGTTTTGATGGTTGATCCTGAACAGATAGGCTAAAATTATCTACACAAAATTAAGGAAGGTTTATCAGGTTACAGGATATTAAAGTCTTTGTCACTACTGAGGGAGGTCAAGAAACAAGAGGAATTCAGGGAATAAGAGGGATTAGTCCAAAAGCCTTCTTTCCATTGTTCACGGGGGGAGAATGGATGATGAAAAATATGCAAAGGTTGCTCTGGAGTGAAAGACATTGTGTTATTAAGCTTGTGGGTGACCACCTATGCTCCAAGTCAGGTCTGACCAACCTACCTATAAAAACCAATAAAGAGTATTAAATGAAATGCGCAAAGATAAAAAGGATATTTACTCAATGTGATCATATAGGAAAGAGGGACAAAGAGATCCAGAAAAATCCCTGAGTCATCCTCAGAGACCGGTGGAGATTTAAAGTTTAGCTAGAGAGCCAAGTATGTGCAAATGCAAGCAGTCCAAGCCAAAGTGTGGCGAAACCCTCTGTCTTCATTTTTGCCAGGTCTATTGTAGAAGGAGATTTGGAAAATGTTCCAATATATCTTCCTTTAGTCATAAAGTCAGGAAGGAAAACACCCCTAGACTGTATCATCTTGACCCAAACCTTAGAATGGAAATGCATGCTGTTTTTCTGCACTGAAATCTAGTCTAATCTAAGACTTGGGGATAAACTGTCCTCTAATAAAAAATATCAGGGAAGACACTCACTCATTAAGGTTTCAGATTGTGTGCCTCCACTTGCAGATAGGCTGACTGTGGGTTTAGACTTTCAAAAGTCAGTCCTCAGCCCCACCCTAGTCAGAGATTTTTTGGGGTTAGACATGGATAAAAGCAACTACTTCTATCATTTTGTTCCTCCTTGAT